TGCCGCTGTTTGCTCCTGGCATCGGTTATCCGCGTCCCGACCTGCTTGGTCCCCGAGAACCTTCCCATCGAGTCCGTTGTCGATGGACAATCAGGATCCCAGATAACGTCGCGAACCTCGGCATCTTCCCGACCTCGCGACTGCGCGACTGACTGTTCGCGTCTAGGATTTTTCTCTTCTTTACAGTCGTTTCCCGTCCTTCCTCTAACCCCTTAAGTTGGCTGTCTTGTCCTTCGGCCCCATTACCGCCCTCCAAAATGACGGAACCAGAGTCATTCGAAGATGATCTCTTCGCCGATCTGTGAGTGCTGCCCGGTCGCCCCTGACACCACACACGCGCTCTTGGAACACCTGATCATCAGGTCCAGTCGTGGAATTTTCGCTGACCATGTCTTGTCCCGCGATAGCTATGCCGATGACGAGCCTACCTCAAAACCAGTTCCTGCGGCCGCGCAGCCCGCAGCACCTGCTCCAGCCGTCTCTGCCCCAACAGAGGCGCTGGACGAACCGCCTTCGGCAGATGGTGGTCACGGCGCTGACGACAGCATGAACTACGAAGATGACGATGAGGATGACGACGTCGACTTCAATCTCGGCAACGGCTCCGTTTCAACAGCACAGTACTCCTCAGAGAGGCCTTCACAAACGCCCATGCCCTCGGCCCCAGCGCCAGCTCCAAGCGCGCGAGGCCCCAACTCCAAAGAAGACGGGTAAGTAATCTTTTGGCTTTTACGTGCAATACTTTTTTTGCCCCTCTCCCCGTGTTCCCGAATACGATTCGGTGGCGTGAGCTTCAAGCACCGGTATTGGCAGTGACATATTCCGTGGAGGATGGTGGTTTGGACTGCATGCTGTTGGCTGGCGCATGGACGGCCACTGGCTCGTGGAGGTGGAAGGGGAACTCTACGCAATGCCGGATGGGCAACTTGAACGTGTCCAAAGGCCTCGAGGGGCCTCGTCGGCAGGGTGGGCGTTTGGGCTGGCACCAGGGTCCCGGATCTCAACCCTTCAAAGAACGCTCTAGCTGCCTCGCTGGGCGACGAGTTAAAGGGAGAAACAGCGGGTCATTGGCAGAGTGCCGCATGGCTGCCTGCTTCGGAGGGCAGACAGACGGAGGAGCAGCCACTACAAGATCAACGCCCGGCACACGCCACGAAAGAGGTCGAAGATATACCCAGAAGCGCCAAAGCGATAGTCAAGCCAGGAGCACATTTGTGTCCGATAGCCCCAGTCAGCAGATACTCCTTTGTGGGCTCCGACGGACACCCTTGAGGGGGTGTCGCTGGGTGCCGTAGCAAGATTTGGCAGCGGATAGCGCTCGAAGGGCAGTACCTAGCTTGACGGTAGCAGAGCAAGACAGAAAGAGCAAGAACAGACGCAGACACAGACCCGCAAGATCAAGGAAAAGAAGCGTTCGACGGTCGTTCAAGTGGCCTCTCCTGCTCGCGCTGCGTCTTGTTTGCTCGCTTGTGGGAATCACTGGGGCGTGCTGCCCAACCGACACCTCAACCAGCCTGAACTGCCGCCAGCCTCGAGGGCTTTCCGACTCCGGGATGGGATTCCCTAAGCGGCTACACGACGCCACAGCCGACGACAGCTTCCTCATGGACCATCTCCCATGCACTTCCACATTTCTAGGGATAGGAGGGAATAGACGGTGCATCTATGAGGGAGGACGCCCCAAGGAAATTGCTGCCTGTTGGCCTCTGCTGCCCGCTGGAAATCCTTCCTGCAGCACAAGGGTTCGCGCCCAACGAGAATGCTTGGGTTCTTTTTTGGTGCGCCGTCTAGGATACTGTGACGGCCAGCATTGCTCTACTCGCCGCTTCAAGACCCCGTCCGCCCGGAGCCAGAAAACGCACGGGGAACTATGGAATCGAGAGAAGGCGTGGCATTTGACCAATAGCCTGGTGGCTAGGCTATACATATGCCATGGAGAGCCAGACGCACTAAAGCCAACTCGTCTCGACTCATGCCTAGTTGGCTTCCTCGGTGCTTATTCTTTTCAGAAGCGTGGTGCGCAAATCAGACTAACACAGGAATTCGCTAGTAAAATGTTCATTGGAGGCTTGAACTGGGAGACAACGGACCGTACGTATATGCAGAGGCAGAGGCTATATGCGATGCTCCAGACCCGGACAGGCCAGACGAGGCTAACACGCGAAATGATACAGAGTCACTGCGCGAATACTTTTCACAGTTCGGCGAGGTTATTGAGTGCACCGTCATGCGCGACGGCTCGACCGGCCGATCTCGTGGCTTCGGCTTTCTGACTTTCAAGGACCCCAAGACGGTCAACATCGTGATGGTCAAGGAGCACTACCTGGACGGCAAGATTGTGAGTGTTTGTTTGCGTTTACCGCGCCGCGGCTTCCAGCTGGTTATAGCACAGGCCTGCTGACACGGATACTCCCCGGCACTAGATCGATCCCAAGCGCGCCATCCCACGAGATGAACAGGAGAAAACGAGCAAGATCTTCGTCGGCGGGGTAAGCCAGGATACGACAGACCAGGAATTCAAGGACTTCTTCGCCCAGTTTGGCAGGGTCGTGGACGCGACCCTTATGATGGATAAGGACACAGGCCGTCCCCGCGGCTTCGGTTTCGTCACGTTCGAGTCCGAGGCCGGTGTGGACGCATGCCTGGCGCAGGAGCTCGAGATCCACGGCAAGCCCATCGAGGTCAAGAAGGCGCAGCCTCGCGGCAACATGCGCGAGGAAGAGGAGGCCAACCGGCGGGCTGGCGGCGGCCCTGGAAACAAGTTCCGCAAAGGCGTCAACGGCCCGGGCGGCGACGACCAGCAGGGAGGCGGCGGCGCTGGCGGCGGCATGGGCGGAGCTGCCCCCGGGGGCATGACGCCGCAGATGATGGCCAACTACTGGCAGCGCATGCAGCAGTACTTCCAGATGATGCAGCAGCAGCTGGCCATGAACCAGCGCAACATGGGTTTCGGAGGCATGAACCCGCAGATGATGCAGATGATGCAGATGCAGCAGATGCAACAGATGCAGCAGATGATGGCCGCCCAGGGCCGCGGCGGACCCGCCGGGAACCCTATGGCGGCCATGGGCAACATGAACCCCCAGATGATGGCCCAGATGCAGCAGATGATGGCGGCCCAGCAGGGCGGCGGTCCTGGCGGTCCTGGTGGTCCCGGCGGCCCCGGCGCCGATCCGTCCGGCGGTGGCGGTAGCGTTAGCGGTGGCCAGGGCAGCGTCGACGGTAGCGTCGACGGCAGCCAGCAGCCGAACCGAGCGCCGTTCAACGCATACGACCAGCAGATGTTCGAGCAGCAAAAGCTGGAGGCACAGCAGCACAACCCGCAGCAGCGGCACCGCGGGCCGCAGCAGCAACAGCAACAGCCCCAGCCACAGCAGCATCGCCAGGGCGGCGGAGGCGGAGGCGGCGGGTACGGCGGCGGCCACCACCAGCAGCAGCAACAGCAGGGAGGGTACGGCGGCGGAATGGGCGGCGGCGGCCCCACGTCCTGGGAGGGCATGTACGACGACGTCCCCCAGCCCAACTTCAACCAGGGCGGCGGCTTCCGCAATAACAACAACAACAACAACCGTGGCGGTCATCAGAACAACAACAACCGGATGGATCCCAACAACGCACCGCCGCCAAACGCGCCGACCGGTCCCAAGAACGCCGGCAAGCCGGGCTCCAACTACCGCGGCGGCGGCAGGGGCATGAACCGCGGCTTCCACCCTTACGCCCGTGGTTAGTAGTCACGTCTGGAGGAGACGATAACAGATATCTCCTGGTGCGGCGGCAAGACTGCTGGTGGCCGCTTCTCGCATTCCGCCTGCTTTTTTTTTTTGTTTATCTGGCACATTACTATCATCTGCTTCCTCACTCAATCTTTCATTCTCGACTGCCACCCTTCTCGTGCTGTATCCTTTCCCGTCCAGCCCTTTGTTTACCCAGGACTCTCCTCCTGGAGACGGCACATTGGGGGAGATCCCAGAGGACTGGGGGAAAGGGCTTGTGTAATTACTAGGAATCCCATTCGTTCACTGGGATAAAACAAAAAAGGGGGGTGCCTACAGCGGATGCGGGATGGCTCGTACGAGGTCAGGAAACGCCGCTTATTAGGGCGTCTCAGCCTTTGCTCCGTTTCTCCCATTATTAATCGCCTTTTTTTTTCTGTCTTATCCTCCTGTACTCAGCTGTCGGGGACTGAATTTCAGCCAGCTCATCAACTAGTGCGTTCATGATGCGTGCATGTCCACATCCGGGGAAAGTCTTGCTTCTCCTGCAAACCAAAAATGCGTTTTCAGTCGATCAGGAACACCAGGCTCTCCGTCTTTTGTCTATCTTTGTATTGATGTTTTATTTCATGTGCTTCCCGCAGTGAAGGTTCCTACCCAAATCATGTGCTATACACTTTGGTAAAGCCCTCGGCGGGCGGCTGCAGCCAGTTGCGGGCGTCGTACGGGAGGTCGCCCTCGATGATGTGGAAGGTGTAGATGATCCTCCCCTTCTGGCTCAGGTTCTTCTCGCTCTTGTGCAGCAGGTTGCCGTGGATCAGCACCAGCGACCCGGCCTTGACCTCGCCCGGGACGTAGCCGTCGTCGTCGAGCACCTTGGCGCCCGCGGCCTCGTCTGCCCCAACGGCGGCGGCGGCCGCCGGCCGGGCGCCACCATACTCGGCACCAGGCGGGAACGCGGCCCCGTCGTCATTGTCCACCATCTCGGTCCCGCCCCCGGCGGCGGCGCGCACCAGCCTCCGGCGCACGGGGCTCCAGCGGTGCGAGCCCGGCAGGAAGCTGAGGCAGCCGTTCTCGAGCGTGGCGTCCTCGAGCGCGTACCAGAAGCCGACGGCGGACGGCGGGTCCGTGTACAGGAAGGTGCTGTCCTGGTGCGGCGGCACGGCCCCGCCGATCTCGGGCTGCTTGCAGATGACCATGCTCTGCAGGCAGCGCGGGTCGCGGAAGCCGAGGGAGCGCGCCACGGGGGCCGGGCGGGCCAGCTGGCCCTCCACGCCGCCGCCGCCGCCGCCGCCCGACTCGCCGGGCCGGGACAGCAGGGCGGCAAAGGGCGGCGACAGGGCGTGCAGGTAGTGGCCGATCTTGTTGACGGCGCGCTCCTTTGGCTTGGTCAGGTTGCCCGCGGCGTCAAAGGCGTCCTCCTCGAAGAAGAAGCGGACCTTGTCGCCGCTCCCCAGGAAGTAGTCGTCGCCCACGTGGTCGGCGCCCGACTTGCCGCCCGTGCTGAAGCGCGTCAGCGGGTGCGACGACACGTCGAGCGACTCGTCCAGCAGCCGCGCCGTCTCGGCCAGCAGCGACGCCACCGTCGCGGGCGGCAGCGCGCCCGGCACCACCAGGTAGCCGTCCCGGTGGAAGGACTCGAGCTGCGCCGGCGTGAGGCCGCCGTCGCCGGGTGGGCTGCTGGTGGTGGTCGTGGTGCTCATGGTTGCTGTCTATTTCCAGGTCTTGCTTCCAGGCCCTGCTTCCAGATGGGATGATGGGCTTCTGCAGTGTGCGGGGTTCGATGCAAAGGAGCCAAGATAAAAGTGATTGGACTTGATGAAAACCAAAATGGGAACTAAATGGATTTCTGGTGGCGTGACACCTCTATCGGATTCTACTCCACCCTGCAGATGGCCGCCCATGTGACAGCCAAGGAGTGCGGCGATCTTGATAGCCTCAGATCCACGCCAGCGGTTCCTGGTCGTAACAATATCCCAATAAAAGCAGCACCACAGCCGAGCACCCGCGCTCCCAACAACAAATTCAAGCATATAACAAAGACAACACATATCGAGGTCATGCAGCTCCTGTCCTGTTACCCAAAGCGACCTACAGTGGGAGGACAAAAATACCGCTCGCTACCTATTTTAACGCTACTACTTTAAAATGCTATAACTTTACCCCAAATGCATGCATTAAAGTGAGGTAAGTTTTATTATAAATTTAAATAAAAAAGCTAACATATACCCTTTTTTAAAAAATTTAAACGAAACGGTTATTTAATAATTAAATAAATAATTAAATGTTAAAATTTATATATTAAAAAAGTATTTTATAAAATTAATAACTAATTAATAATAAAATGTTATATATATATAATTTAATTTATATAATTTACTGCTTATTAAATACTACGTGTATAAATTTTTAAATTAAGGTTATATATATTTTTAGCTTATTATTTCTATTTAAAAATATAGTACGTTTTAAATATATATTTTATTTTTTATTTTTTTATACCTTAAATATAAAGGAAATTAATAAAATTAAAATTAAAATGTATATAAAAACAAGTTAAGTATTATATAATAAAAGTTACTTTTTAATATATATTGTGGGGCGCTGGTATTCCTTGCGCAATTTGGCGTTGAATTTTTTTTTGGAAAAGCGAGCGGTACTTTTGTCCCCCGGGTGTAGTAGCTGTCTGTATGCCTACCGGGTACCTATACTCCCTCGTTGCTCTTCCAGAATCATTATAAAGACAAAGCAGCGAGCAAAACAAACCCTACTCCAGAAAAGGACCCCGTCCTGTATGCAAATATGTACAAACTCATGACCTGTATGATATTGAGAAAGAAAAAAAAGCCGACTCGGGCGACTCTTCCCTGAAAACGGATAACAACGGGTTTCGTGTACTGTTGGTGATTATAAGGATGCCTTGGCCGGCCGGTCGGGCGCAGCCGGCCCTACAGCCAGCCAGAGCCTGGCAGAAATGCAAATGGTCGTGAGGTGTGTGTTTAGGCAGTATCGGGGTCGTTGAGGAACTCGTATCCCCTCTCCTGCGGCAAGACAAACGCCGACGTGACCAGCCCCGCGGCGCACAGCACCGACAGGCCGGCGCTGACGGTGGCCAGGATCCACGACTTGTCGAGGTGCCAGCCGGGCACGAAGAACTTATCGTCGTTGTCGTACAGGTACGCCACGACCGAGACGGCGGCGGCCAGCAGCAGGGCTACGACCGAGAGCAGGCCGGCCAGGATGCGCCAGCCGGCCACGCGCTTCTGCTTGCCGCCGGCCATGACGACCACGAATGCGACGAGGGTGACGAGCTCGAGCACGGCGGCGAGCGAGACCAGGAAGCCCGTGGTGCGCCACATGGAGCAGAAGGCGGAGCCGTCGCCGGCGCAGTCCTCGCGGTCGAGCGGGAACTCGCGGCAAGGGGGATCGAGGACCGAGGAGCAGCTCCGGTGCAAGCCGACGTTGCGCGTCACGGACCGGCCCTTGACCGACGTCACGCCGTAGCTGACCCAGTTGGGCAGGACGATCGAGGCCAGCGTCATGACGACCACTGCGGGGGTGCGGGAGGTGTGGTTAGCATGTTGATGCCTTGGTGTTTATTCCGTCTGCTCGGTGATGGTGGTGGTGGTGTTGAAGTTGCATGACGACATGGCCAATCTGCCACCGCCAATCCACCTGTAGCCTGGGGGATCAACCAAACCTACCAGAGGCAAAGGCCACTAGCGCCGTGCTGTACACTATCGTGCGTGTCATTTTTTCAGTCTAGGGAGATGTGCGTATGGAAGAAGGATGGCTATCAGGTGTTGCCTGATTGATTGAGACTAAAGGATATAGAATGAGTCGGGTGGCAGCTCGTGGATTTTAGGTCAGCAAAGACGGGGAGGACGTCAGGCGCAACACACCACGCCACAAGTTGGTGGGGGGTGTTGCTTCCTGCTGGGAGGAGCTGGGTACGCTGGACCGGCTGGGCTGGATTTGGGGTGATGCGTGGCCTCCGACAGGGGTGCCTGCCGCCTTGAGCTTCAATCGAGGCTGGGCACCAGCCAGGGCTGATTGCCGTTAGTTGCCTGTGCCCTGGCTGCGTGCATTTGATTCGACGAACCGTATCTGTGCTCTGCTCCTTGGCGCGAACCACGGGTCTCTATGCTCTGCTCTCTGGACTCTGCCAGCCCCTTGGTTCCTTGATTGTCCTTGATCTCCAAAGCTCAGCCATCGTCGGAGCTAAAGCTGTTGTAGAAGCAGGGGTTGGTTGACATCGCCAAACAGTGGACTCACCCATCGATGAGACTGCTAGGCAGAGGGTAGGTGGGCAATAGAGGAACTCGGTGCCATCACATGCCTGTCCTGCCCACCCACTGACGCATGATTGTAACCCCCACTCTGTGCTGGCGGCGGCAGCGAGCATGAGCATGCATTGCCTGAATCCGGCCTTTACTAATCGAGGTAATTGAGCTCGCCCACGCCCTTTCAACTGTATGCGCAGCACTGTGGCTCGCTCGGGCGGGGGCTGCCCTTGATTGGTGTCGTCGTCATTCTTACGGGAATTAATCGGCGGCGCGAGGCCATCTCGACTCCTCCTCTCGACTCCTTCTCTCGACTCCTTTTCCTTGTCCCGACCTCAGCCTGCCCGACTGTGAGCCCCTGAGACAACGAGACAGCCGACCTCGTAACATGGCATCCTAGCCCTTTTTGTCCCTTGCTTCTTTTATTTCTTTTGCTTTTCCTCCATCATCATCCACCCGGGCGGCTGCGCTTTACCAACTGTCGTCCCTGTAGCGGTAGTCGCTCATCCTGCCAGCGTGCCAGCGTGTCAGCCCAATGGCAGTCTTTGTCGACCTCGAAGATGGGCCGGATCAGCCACAGGACTTCCAGCACGGCAAGCCCGTCTGGAAGCCCGAACCTGAGGACCGCCCACCGCGGCCGCCGTCGCCGATGCCCGAGTCCGAGAGCGGAGCCGGCCAGGCCGTCATGGCGGGCAATCCGAACCTGAACTCGGTCACGGAGGCCCTGGGATGTTATCCGTAGGCCGAAAATCTCCCCTTTTCCTCTCTCACCCTTTCTATATCCATCAGTAGTCGGATCACCTGGTGTTTTCTGTGCTTTCGATACTCCAATTTTCAAAATGCCGTGATAGTCGACGTGTTATGCAGATTCAGTGCAAGTCTTGAGATCAGAAGAGGGACTAAATGTCCTCGTCCCCCAGCATCATCGTGGTCATCGCCGCGTCGCTCGACCTCAACTCGATCGATAGCCTGGCCCGCACCTGCCGCCAGGCCCGCAGCGCCCTCATCCAGTATCGCTCCAGTCTCATCAAGTCCTCGCTGCGATGTTTTAACGAGCCCCTGCCTGTCGACCCCGAGCAGACGCTGCGCTACCGTGCCCGTGCTGGCAACTGGTATTACATGGAGGATACCAGCCGCACAAGCTACGGCGGCAAGCCCGGCGACTGCGCCCGAGACCTCGTCGGCGAATGCCACAAATGTGGTCAGGTGAGCCTATTGCTGCCTCTTCGGGTTTATGGTATGAAAAAGGCTGACCGCCAGGCTACCATAGGTTGTGTGTCGTGTAAGCCAGACAACCATTCCCACTTGCCCCTTTTCTCACAGGCCCATTATCTTTGGGCATGCACAAACACAGTGACTGAGATGTCGTATTCAGAATTGCGCGATAAAACCGCCCGCGCCCATCGTGCTCCGTGACAGGCACCGCCGGTTATGCAATACATGCACCAAAGCACCCATCACAGAGCTCGTGAAGCCGCCCCTGGACCCGACAACCCCTCTCGCCTCGCCCGCTATGCAGAGTAAGATTTGCCGCTGCGAGGGCGGCGTGTGGCTTTGTCAGACATGCGGCCGCTCTATCCGTGGCGCAGATCATGAGTATAAGGGGTGAGTGATTTTTGATGTTGAAATGTGGCTCCTTCTCTTGGCTTCTCCCGGGCAAGGGACAGACAGCTGACAAAAAGCGAAAACAAACTTGGCTAGACTGTGGCGCTGGCGCGGTCAGTACGGGGAGGTCCTCGGCGGCGTGGGCACCGGGATCGGCGATGGGGACCGCGGCGTCCCGTGCGGGCGCGAGGACGAGTGCCTCGGCGCCAAAGAGTGCGAGCATGAGACGGACTGCGAGGCCGCCGACGCCGCCGCCGCCGATACCTACTTTGCGCAGCAGCAGCAGCAGTCCCAGGCCGCCGCCGCCGCCGCCACCAACCCCCTCCTGCTCCTGCAGAGCCCCGTCGCCACCTGGCCCAACAGCAACCACCACAACAACAACAACAACAACAACAACGGCGGCAGCGGCATGGCGACGCCCGACTCGTCGTCGCTCAGCAGCCGGCGGCACACGCCCAGCCCCGGGTACGCGCGGCACGAGATCGAGGGCATCGGCGGCGTGGTCAAGACCAAGCTGGTGCGCATGGTGCGCGTCGGCGCCGGCGTGCCCGAGTGGCAGGACGAGAAGCCCGCCAGCCGCGGCGGCGGCGAGGCCCTGGCCCGCGAGGTCGCCGGCCGCGTCCGCAGCTGGTGCGGCTGGTGCGCCAGGGTCATTCCCGGCCGGGACGACCTGGCGCGCGACGCCGCGCGCCTGCTGCCGGAGGAGGAGGAGGAGGGGCAGGGGCAGGGGCAGGGGCGGCTGGGGAAAGCAGGAGGGGAAGGAAAAGGAGGGGAAGGAAGAGGAGGGTCGGCCGCCTTGGGGTCTTCATCGGTGTCGACGGCGCCATCGTTCTCGTCGACGGTTGCGCTCAGGGGCCGTTAGGCGAAGGGCTTGGCTAGTCAGGACTCTTCTATTGGGCAGTTTGTTTCGCAACATCTAGACAAGATCAGGAATACAATGGACATGATGAGTGCGCAAATGCCTTGGTTAATATTGGCTCTTGGAGTGAAACTCACAATCCTTCAGGGGCTGCCACAAGGAGTCATAAAATCAAAGTTGTATATTCTATATAACTCGTAAAGTCTATAAGCCGGGGTAGTAGACGACAAACAATAACATGGCTCGGACACTAATGAGGAAAACAACCATATATCCCAATTACCGCATCCCAAAACAAACATGTCCCAAAAAAAAAATACTCCCACACTGCAATGCACAGACAGACAAGAAAAGGTCTAGTTGATGGCACCAAAGATGGTCTCCATGAGGATTCCGGTGATCTGGTAGGGGTCGGCGTTGGAGGCCGGGCGCCTGTCCTCAAAGTAGCCGTAGCCCTTGGCGGCGCACTCGCGGGGGATACGGATGGAGGCGCCCCTGTTGGCGACGCCGTACGAGAACTGGTCGATGGCGCCCGTCTCGTGGCGGCCCGTGAGGCGCTTCTCGTTGCCCTCGCCGTAGACGGCGATGTGCTCGGCGTGGCGGCCCTCGAGCTTCTTGATGGCGGCCTCGATGTGGGCCATGCCGCCCTCGACGCGCATCTCCTTGGTCGAGAAGTTGCTGTGCAGGCCCGCGCCGTTCCAGTCGCCCGGGATCGGCTTGGGGTCAAACGAAACCTTGGCGCCGAACTCCTCGGCCACGCGGTGCAGGAGGAAGCGCGAGATCCAGAGGTGGTCACCCACTGAACGAGGAGAGGTTTTGTTAGTCGGGGTGTTTCAAAAAATTTGGAGAAAGTAACCAAGGACAGTCTGGGGGAGAGTGAGAAAGATTTTCAACGTACTTTCAATGCCAAGGCAAGGGCCGACCTGGAACTCCCACTGGGCAGGCATAACCTCGGCGTTGGTGCCAGAGATCTTGACGCCGGCGAACAGGCAGGCCTTGTAGTGGGCCTCGACGATATCCCTCTGCACAACCTTGCCGGTGCCGACACCGCAGTAGTAGGGGCCTTGCGGGGCGGGGAAGCCGTTCTTGGGCCAGCCGTAAGGGCGGTCCTCAGTATCGAGAAGGGTGTACTCCTGCTCGAGGCCGAACCAGGGCTCGTGGTCGGCGTGGGCGGCCATGAGCTTGGCGGCCTCGTCACGGTAGTTGAATTTGTTGGGGGTGCCGTCGGGGTTCCAGCACTCGGACAAGACGATGATGTTGGGCGAGCCGCGGAACGGGTCCGGGAACACGGCCACGGGCTTGAGGAACACGTCCGAGTTGTCGCCGGGCGCCTGGCCCGTCGACGAGCCGTCAAAGTTCCATGTTGGCAGGTCCTTGGGCTCGTACTTGTCGTCCTTCAGGGTCTGGTGGTGGTGCGAGGTTGGTTAGCACGTGTGTGGGTGGTGTTGGTTTTGGTGGTGACGATGGTGATTGTGGTGGGTTGCATCAAATAGCAGGGGTGGGGGATCAAGAGTCGATGGAATTGTTCCCGAATCAATCCAAAGCGGGAATGCAGCGCACATCCAAGTTCGTCCAGTGCACGCACAAGCACGCACGACCGGAGACGGAAGGGCCACTGGGCCGCGGCCGTCTGTTCTTGGCAGAAATGTGGGGACTTGGCGCTGCTGCTGCGCAACACACAAACGATGAGACGACGACCTCGGCCCGCAAAAAACCGCCCGTGACGATAAAAACGTCATCGCGACTTGTCTCTGCCTTTTCCGGACCAAAGGCCACAGCCCTGCGCCACCGCCCTCCCGCGCTTTTTGTTTTGCTTCGCTCTTCGCCGGCCCAAGGGAATGAATGCGCAAGGGTGTAGGCCCGAAGCGGACGAACAAGGCGCTGCTTTGGGCCAATTGAGGCGGAATGACGGAGAGGAGTGGGGTCTTTTAGGTAATGGAATAGGATGAAATTCGGAGGCTTTCGGTGCTGTGCGGGCGCATTCCACGCTTCTCTTTCCTTTTTCCCTTTCCCCTTTCCGCTGCAACTTTAAGCGGACAAATCCGGGAGGGAGCCCCAGCCCAGCCCCAAGCCCCAAGCCCAGGGAAACCCCTCTTTCGTGGGCTGGCAGCGAGTCGCCGCTCCCTGGCCCGGAACCACCACCGCCGCCGCCAAACTATGGCGGAAGCAGTAGGGACGGGGAACGAATCTCGGGGAGGGACCCTGGTGTCAAGCACCATGGCAGCCCAAAAGGCCCATGCGGCGCCTGGGGGAGGAGGCTCGCGCGCTCCACCGGTGTGTGCCCGATGTCGTCCCCCCACCGCCGGGAAAGCCAAGATGGCAGGGAAGATGATGTTTGAAAAAGAGGGCCGTGTTGTTGTGTTGCGGTGGTGTGCGTGCGTGCAAAGGGAAAATATGGCAAACTCACCCTAGACTTGGAGCGGACGCCGCCCTCGCTGTCGATCCAGACGTACTCGGCGATGATGGAGCCCTTCTGGTCCAGCCTGAGGTACTTCTGGAGCTGAATTGCACGGAAATGAAGACGGTCAGTAACGGGCCCGTGATGTAGGAGTGGTCATCGGGGGCTGTTTTGGACTTACGTTCTCGACGTATGTTACTTGTGCCGCCATCTTGGTGATTATGTGTGTGGGTTGTTCCTACAAGAGGAGAAGAGGGAGAAGAAGTAATGAGAGCAGGTAGTAACTTTGAGGGTGTTGATGAGAGTCCGGGAACAAAGATGAGGACGGCGTGCGACGGCTCAAAGGATATATAAATACCAAGCGCGTTGCAGGGACAAGTTGCCGTGGGGGGAGGCAGCCGAGGGCTTTTTATCCACCACGACGACACACACACGAGCTACCGGGGATACATGTACACATGTACCTTGGCTGCTACCTCCGGTATGACGCCTGAGCTAGGAACGTGCATGCAAGTCAGTCGTTTCTCCTCTGGGCTTCCCTCCCTGTTCCGAGACGCCCCCGGACCCAAAAATACGGAATAAGAGATAAGGGACCAAAAACAGTTGGAAATGGTTTGGACGGGATTGGGCCGGGTCTGCACGGGAGGTGGTGTGGTCCCTCCACTCCCTCCTTCCTGCCTCTTGCCTTGCCATGGGCTTGCCGCCGCCACCACCACCACCATTCCCACCCACGTTAGCTCTCCAGCTCTTATCTGCACCAGCGTGGCTGGTGGGAACTGCATCAGACATCGTGTGGGACACGGGATGCTCGCGGCAATGATGGTGATGCTTTTAGTTTAGCTCTGAGGCCTTTCTAGTGGGGGGGCCTTGGGGGAGTTTTTTTTTTTTTCCCTTCTTTTTTGTTCTCTTTTTCATGTCCACGGGGAAACGACATGTGTGGGGAGGGTTGCCATGCACTCTAATCCCCGTCTTTTTCTGCCTCTTCTCGTTTCTTTGACTTTTGGCAGGTTGCCCTGACTTTTTGACTTTTTGGCTGGCCGTTTGAGCGGACGGATGGGGGAGGCTGTGTCTGCCGGCTTGTCCTAGACCAAACCAAAAGTCCTTTGGAGCTTATACGACACCGAAATTTTCTTCTGCAAGCCCAGGTGAACGGACGCAGGGGGGCGGCAGGCTGGCAGGCTGCCTGCTGCTGGTACCACCCACCTGCCGCATTTGCATCCCATGGAGACTTTCAGCTGGTTCGCCGCGGCGTGGCCGTGACCTTCATGTTGCTTCTCGATACGGTCACATTCAAGGGCCCGGCGCTCTCAACAATGTCAAGACAAAGCAACACGTACCTGACACACCCTCTGCGAACCTTGTTTGAACCAATTTCCCTGTTTTTGGCCTTGTTCTTTTTCAGCGTTTCCTTCCCGCTCTCGTTGTCGTCGCATCAACGCGCCCTTCTACCCAAACAAGTTGAAATGACAGACAGGGTGGGGGGTTGCACTTTGTTTTTTTTTCCTTTGCAACCACTTGACATTTGATCCATACCCTGACGGTTGCGCTGCAGGGAGGGTCCTAGGGAGGGTCCTCCCACCCACCACCCAGCAGCGCTGGGGTGGGTCTCGATTTGGTGGCTGCCCCTTGCTTCCACAGCGTGTCGGTACTCCAGTCCGGGAGGGCACTTGGCCAGATGCCTGAACTGGAAAAAGCGGTCTTCACCCCGCAGAATCCCTCACCAGGGGAGACGCAAGCCTTTCGCCTCTGCATGGGGGACTTTCTTTATTCCAAACCGCTCGGCTGAAGAAATACGATGTGGGGAGGCCGGTACACAGAACAGACTGACCTCCGTGCTTGGTTTCCATTCCATTGACAAACGGCGCCCAGCCACGTTTCGATACGGGGGCGTGTTTTTTTTGTTAATCCTTTTGCAGGCGGCGATTCAAAACCAGGGCACTTATTACGTACAATTGTCGATCCGCTTGCTATTTTCGTTCCTGACACCGCCAAGCCCGCTCTTGGCCCGGTTTACGGGTTTGCGCTCGATTGGACGGGGAAACAAGCCCCCAAGGACACACACCGACCTTGTGCTGCTTGTATGTTGGCACACATCACATCATGGGAAAATCTTGCTGACCTACTTTTCTTGCATCTTTGCCCGCCCAGCAAATCCGACGTCCCCGTCCAAAACACGTCCAGTCTGGCAATCGTGTCCAGCCACACCCACCCCAACAACGTTCCGGGGCGGACCCCAAAAAAAAAAAAAAACAGCTGGTCCATCGTTGACTAACAGTTTGGTCATTTCCGGTGCTAACCCGACCTCTCCGCGATAGTGACACCTCCGTTCTTCGGAGCCCGCTCCATGCGCCCTCTTTCTCTCTGTCTCACCTTCCCTCCCTCTGCCGCTCCTTTCCCCAGACTGCTGGGTCCCCATCCCCACACCACCATCGTGTAGCAGGCACCCAACCCCATTGCCCCTTCCCTTTGCTTTTTGGGACCTGCCGCCCCCTTTCGGGATGCAACCTCGGAGCCGTCCGTATCGTCGTCTCCTGATTGGCCCCTCGCGATTCTTTTATGTTATATGCCTGACCCCGACGTGCGCGCCGCTGAGCGCTTTTCTTGCCGCGCCGCCATTGAGCCTCCGATCACACGTCCGATCGGCCATCCCGGCTCCGCGTCCCACGCCGATTAATCGCTCAGCCCGACCACCTGTGACCGCCTATTCCTTCTCTGTTTCTTTCCACACAGATTATCTGCTCCATAACACACTAGTCACTATAGCTATCTCACATCCTCAGCCGAGTTCACGGAGCAAATGGGGTAAATGGGCCAAGTCTGCACACATAGTTGGCCACATCGCCATACCGAACGAGACATCCATTCCCGTACCAAGGGATCCACCTCCCAGCCCGCATCACATGCATCAGCAGGCGGATCGGTTAGAACCTCACTCCGTCTCCAGAGCTCCAAAAAGAGGCGGGGATTTGGGGCTCTTGGCCGCATTGGTCTCCTCATCTCCAGATTCCTGGAGAACCTCCGAGTCAGCCTTGTTGCTTAAAAGGAAATACACCCAAAAAGAAGCGGAGTATACTGACCTCGATTGGGTCCGCGTAGTAGTTGGGCAGCTGTCGAATCACAGTCTGTCCAGACCGCTTCCGGGCCGCTCCTCTTCCCCGTGCGCCTCGCTGTCTTCCTTGGCGCTGATTGCTCAGCAGAGGCAAGGCTGGCCCCGAGGAAAGATAGCCTGGTTTATGGGTGGCATGTTTTCTCACGAACGGCTTGGGAGCAGCGAACTTGAAGGGCATCTTGGGCTCATCCGCCGGGGTTGATATTGTTGTTCCGGTTGTTAATGATGGCTCCGCTGTGACAGAATCGATATCAGGGACCGCCGGGTACGTAGGACTAGGCGCCTCGCCGTCCTCAAACAAGCCGGACCGTGATGGTTCGGCGGCGACCGAGTCCATATCTCTGGTCTGCGGATATGTGGGACCCGGCGCGTGGTATTCGGCCGGCGCACCCCCGGATTTGGAGGCGTTGCCTTGCATGCTGTCATCCGACTCGCAGTCTTCGTCAAACCCTGAAGGCAACAGCGTCGTGACAAAGCTGTGTATATCCGACGCTCCTGACGATGAGGCAGGTGACCCAGCAGCGGCTTTCTCCCTTGCGGCAGCATAAGTAGTCGAGATACGTTTCGTAGGAAGTCCTCTGATGGCTGCATCAGGGGTTCGTTTGCGCGCAGGCTGAATTTGGGCCCTTTGCTGCAGCGCCCGTGATGCATCCGACTTCGCCTCTAGAAGCGCCTGTTGATAGACCCCCTCGCTACTGCTGTCCGAGACGATCGACTTCATCCAGGCTTCATGTTCCTCCCCTTTGTCTCGCACCTTTGCACCCTCTCGGACCGGGCCTCTCAGTTGGCTGTTGGTATGCAGCATGTTGGACGCAAATGGCTGCGAGGCCTGCTGCTTCTCATGAAGCTCGGGTAGTTCGACGTCAGGCCACGTTTCCTTGGATTCCGCCCGAGGGCAAACATCATTCTGCATATCGCTGCTTGGCGTGGGGCTCGTAGAGAGCAGGAAATGCGCGGGAAGACTAAAGTTTGGCATCGATTCTGGAGGTATCTTCGGAACTCGCCGTGGTGCCTGGTCGGCAACATCCTGTTCAGCTGAGCCAGTCGAGGAGTCTTCGTATTCGCCCAGGTGGCGCTCCCCTTGTATATCGCTGCCATCAGATGCGCTCCCGTGGCTAGAAGGACCCTGCCTGCCAAGTCCTGTTTCCCGGACGCTGGGGATCGCGTCGCACAGAGCGCTCACTCCAGGGCTAATGACTGGCCGAGAGAGATTCGATCCGGCCATCCTAGTGTTAGGGGATGAGCACATCAAATCTCTCCATCGCTCGTTCTCTTCTTGCAACGAAGCCGTTACAACGGGCTCCCTCGGGCCAACCTGGGCCATGGTGCTGTCTTGGGGGTTTGAACCATGTGATACAGGGCCGGGGAGCGGGGAACGGACGAGCTGGTGAATTCGGCGCCGAACTGGCGGGGTTACGGCCCGAGATAATGACGAGGAGCTGCTTCCGGCACGCCTTGCCCGTCTTGCCGCCTGCCGTCTTTCTTGGGTAAGACATCTGCTCGGTGTTGCGCATGGACTCGAGGACATATTGACTCCGGCGCCCCCTGCCTTCTCCGCACATGCTGCATTTTGTAAGGCTACAAGTATACCATGTGAGAAAGAGGATAAACTTACGCGAAGACTGGAAATAGGGGCTGCTAGTGAGGTCATCCTGTTTAGTGCCAGATGGTTCTCGATGGCTGGCGCGGCGGCCCATGCTGGAGCTTTCGCCGAATCTCGCCTCCTGGCTTCCTATCCTGATTCTGATATCCCCCAATGCTGGCGAGGACTCGTGTCGGTTACGACCAGACTTCATCCTAGCATTGTACCTGCGCTCGAGAACATGGCCGGCTCGAGGAAGCGCGCCATCTTTGTGGGGAGGCCATGGGGGTAACCGTGGCGTGGCTCTATGGGAGGTGGAGGGATGGTGAAGCGGCTTCTGTATCTTCACTCCGGTCCAGTCATCTTTGAGCAAAAGCTTTCGCTTCTTGTCAGCAATAGATCTGTCGCCGCCACCCGGTCTTCCGTGGGCTAAATCGGCGAGCCTGTCCTCTGGAGGCTCGGGGCTGTGGGTGGCATGAAGCGCGGGTGCTGGGCGGCTGCCAGGGTTGGGTGATCTGGGGGAACTGCTTGTTCTGCGGGTACTGTTGAGTGCGCCCGTCCTTGCTTTTGCAAAGTGCTGGCGCTGGCGTCGAAGAAGCTGTTTGCCGCGCCCACCAGGGACATGGCGGGCGAGGACCCCTTCAGTCCAATTCATGGAGCTGGCAATGGCGAGGCTGGGACTTTGGGTGGCCGCATAACCAGGTGGTAGGTCTCTGTTCTCTGAAGGAGCGATGATGGCCTCTGCAGCGCCCCACAACTAAGTGGAAGGGCTGAGGCGCCATTACCTTGCACGGCTACCTGAAACGGACAACACTGGGAAGGAACCAACTGGGAAGGAGCCAGCAAGCACTCACTCAGGTCATGATATCCATTGGATCAATCAAGGGCCCGACAAATGTTGACGAAGGAAGCCACTCGCAACTTTCACTTGATGCAGGTGCGGGTCGCAGTTGCCATGCCTATACGCCATCACCTAATTCGCCGCATCGCCTTCGACGGTTCCAAGGCAGAAAATGAGGCGAGATGGTGAGGGGGATGGAACTGCGGCAATGTGAAGAGAACACATGCCCACATCTGAGACGCGCGCCAATTAGCGAGAAATGGTTGGATGCATTATCCACAGGGCTTCAACTTGCTGACAACCCCCAGCAGTGATATGAACTGGCCCCCAGCTCATGCACTGGAGTGTTGTTGGGGGCCGTCGTGCCGGGGTGGAACGGCTGAGAGATCAGGCTGTGATGCCAGGCCAGGATCTAGTACCCACCAGGATTAAGTGATATAGGCCGAGGGAGAGATACTAAAGTGCTGATATTCCTAGTCTAGTAATAGTTGAGCCTACGACTTTAAATCTCTACTCGTTTGACTGCATTGCGTACCCTCTCAAGCCAGGTGTTTGAGATGCCGCTGAGGGCGGAACCCAATATGCCCGATACTAGCAAACCTAGCGCGAATAGCCCCCTCATGCCTTAGCAGGAGAACTCCTAGGAAGATCACATCGGCTCAACTTCAGGAAGTGAGAAAACCAGCCGCAACCCGGGAGCAGACCTCAAAATTCAAGTAAAAAGACGCGGTGTAGGTCGTCGTCTTCCATCTCATAATTTGGCCTCCTTTTGATCTTTTTGGTATAACCTTTTGGGACCTGCTTGCTCATATACCTTTCTATCCTGAGGCCTGTGCTGGAAACTTCTCGAAGCGAGCATAGCCCCGAAACAGGCCGTGATGAAGGCAAGGAAGAAGCAGCTCGAGAATCTCTAAGATAAGGGCCTTCATTGAGAGCACATTGAAGGCATGGGGCCTTCTCCCTATCTACACTCAAGCCATCAGCCTTCGGGTCACCCTCGAGACTCCGAAACATGTAGTCATTCACAAGAACCGCTTTCAGGCTCTTTTGGCCGCCACGATTCATCTTGTTCCCGGTGGTGGCTTGGCTAACTCTACACAGAGCAGTGGGTTGGCGCCAACTTGGTCCGGCCGGACTTGAAGTGGGCTAAGCAGCTCGTCTTCCTCGACTTGAAGCAGTACAGAATTGGCAACACCGCACTCCTCGACGCCAACATCACCTCCACTGGCACGCTCGCCGGCGATGTTTGCAGGGTTGCCGGGAACCCCAAATGCCCTTCGGAGGGCTGGGAGTCGATGGAGAGGCTGGTGGCCACTTTCCGCAACCACAGACACCTAGACGAGGAGAAGAGGCGCTTTTTCAGAAAGCCACCTGGGGTCTGGTCTACCGCGGTGCCCGGAGCAGCGATGCAGTTTTCCCTGGCGATCCGCGAAGACCCGTCCGTCCCGAGGCCATGGGGGAGTCTTTGATCCTCATGCCGCACCGTGCCATCGCAACGGCCATGTCGGACGCCATGGGCCACTTCTGGGAAGCCCTGTTCCTGATGGCAGATGTAGAGAAGGCCGAGAGACGCGGGTCCAACTACCGCTTCTGGTCCTTCTCGCCCCATGCGAGTGCTCAGACGCGATGCCAGGCGACTGTCGTTGCGCAGAACGAATCCTTCTCGGTCAACGGTAGCCGCCTCGTCGTCTTCCCTGATGTTCGCAGCAAAGATGCGGAGATGCTGTACCAGAACATGACCATCCCAGACGCCGGGCTGGACAGGTTCCTGTCAATAGGGCACAGCTCCGTTCCGCGACTTTTCTTTTTCAATCTTAGTACCCCCGGGCTCTGGAGGAATGTATCCATCGTCACGGCCATATCTCTCCCCCTCGAGGGCCAGGGCTCCGTGCTGTACGGCTGTGTGTCCACTACAAAATGGATATGGGCCGACCTTAAAACGACCCCTAACAAGACTATGACCACGCGCCTCGCGACGAACCTTGACGAGATGATGACCACAGGTAGCGACACGGCCATCGACAAAATGACGGCCGCGCGCCCAGGGCCCCTGCCTCTCGGCTGGGAGGTGGGCAACTTCCACCGCGTGCTAATCGAAAAACAGTACGCGGACCTCATCGACGTGCCCATCGGCCCTTCGACCGACACGACCATCTTCCAGCGACTGGCCACGGCTGCGGGGCTGGCCGGTCCTGGAGGTGCGGCCTCTCGCTCCGCAGTCACCACGCTCGGCCATGTGGAAACGCTCGTCAACATGCTACTCGCCATGGGCCTATCGAACTCAGCCAGCGACGCTGACACCAAGCCCCGGCTTACCAATCCCGACGGCAAGTGGTGCTGGACATGTTCCGGGTCAGGCCCGTCTTCGGAATCTTCCAGCTGAGCAGCATCGACCCCCGGTGCCGCAGCGGCGCCTTCACGGCCCCCACCTAGACCGACGACGACATGCTGCTCCCGCTCTACTTCAACGTCGCCATGTTCGGCTACGGCTACTCGCGCAACAGCGACCAGGCGGGCCCGCTGCTGGCGGGCCTGTTTGCCTACTCGGCCGTCGCCGTTCTGTTTCTCCTCTGGAGCGTCGGTCTCGTCGGCGTCGCCAGCTCGAGCTGGGACTCGCCGCTCGAGGTGGTCGCGCTCGCGCTGCGCAGCCCCCGGCCCGCAGACAAGGCCCTCCCTAGCAGCCTCGTCGAGAACCCCGAGGTTCTGAGCGGGCGGTACTGCATCGCCGCGGATGGCGAGGACCTGCTGTTGTAGCCCATGGGGGACAAGGAGGACGATATTGGGAATCGGGTGCTGCCAAATACGCCGTACAAATTAGATTAACCAGCAGTCTGGGCCCTTTTCCTGCCATGACTACTTTCCAGTCCCTGTTTCCCATTCGATATCCCATTCCTTGTTCTAGGCATCTACCTATTTGATCACCCCTTATATGAACAATAAAAAATGGGACTTGCCTCAACGAGCACATACGGGCCATACCCACTGGAATACACGGAATCCCGTCCGCTCGGGTCGGGAGCAGTTGGAAATCCGGCGTCCGCATTGCCTATTGGCCAACTGGCCAACAAGCGTTTTTTTCCAACGGTTTCCCTCCCGCGTTCGACAGGAAACGGAAATCTATTTAGGGAGGTTAAGCCGGTTAGAAGTAGATTCCTACCAGCCCGTTGCGCTAGCCACGACCAGTGCGCCACCCACCCTTTTCGACAGGCCCTGATCCCGCCGCTATGGAGGGTTCCTACTATCTAGGTACTTATAGAGCGTCCTTGGGGCTCTGCCCTCCCGCGAAGAGAAGGACGGCGCCCCTTCCCTTTTCCTTTCTCCTTTTCGCCTTTTGCCGGTACAGGCTGGATCGCTGTACAATTAACACTTTAGTGGTCGCCCAAGCGCGGCTCGATTTCGCGCGACCTCGACGCTTTGCTGTTTTCTTCCTTCCACAACACAAACTCACACCACGATGCATCCCGTGCCACCGTCTAGGCCACAGCCCTGGCAACAGCCCAGAACACACGCCGACGTCGACAGCAACTCGAAGACTACGCGGGAAGCCGATTTCGTCAGTCACTTCATTCAGCCACTAGTTGCCAGCAGGCTAGATAATCTTCTCGTGCTGACACCCTGTCCCGGAGCAGAACTTTCGATTTGGCACTCGACGAGTTGCGGCGCGCGGGAAGGTGTGCGGCCACCACCCCAATGTGGTGTTTTTGCGCGTGCTGCCAAGCACGCTCGGCCGACTTTCCGATTGTCTATCCCGCTTCCTCCCTGCGACGTGGAAAGACCGCTTCGAAGCACGATGGCCCGAATGGTTCCTGCCCGACCGTATTATTTTAAAAAGAGAAAAGCCTGGTTGGAAGGAAGAATTTGACAATGAGGTGGGAATGTACAAGCTGTTGGCCCCTTTGGGCGGACATGTTGTGCCCAAGCTTTACGGCCAGATTGAGTACCCAAGCACGGACAAAGTCAAAAGGCGCGCACTTATTATATCGGATATCGGCGGGATCCCATTAGGCGAGCCCGAAGTTGGCTCGCTTCCCCTCGGTCGCGTTGAAGAGATGCTGAATGATGCGTTCCGGGCAGTTGCTGACGCCGGGGTCGATCATTGCGACGCAAAGCTGGACAATATACATGTGGTGGACGACAGGATTATGCTTATCGATTTTGATACGTCGGAGCCGGTAACAGAGGACGTGGATCCAGAGTATTGCGCATATACTGCCGTCAATCACGTTCTGAGGCAGTACATAAGGTTACACGATCGCTTTCCCAAAGGAATTCCCTGGGGCGTGCTCCCTAGCCATCGGAGACCTCAGCAAACTTGGGAGACTGTGGATCTATCTCGACCTGAACCTCTTCCGCAAAGTAAGGAGACTGCAGACCCTGCTCCGAATTTTGCACGCCACGCTAACACTACCTAGCACTAGAAAGCTTCGGAGCCGTGGCCAACAGGGCTTCGTAGCTGCTCGTTGGGAAAGCAGGGCAGCGGGTGAATATAATGCTAGGGTATGCGCGGTTGAGTGTGTAAAATAGCTCTCATAGAGGTAAGGCTGAAACAGTGGGCAGTCGGTGATGTTACCCCAATAGAAGATTTCAGACGTGAGGCGCTCTAAGCACGCACCCAGGTGTGTGAGCTGCGGGCCGAAAAGATGGAAAGTTGGCGATGTTCCACCTTCCAATCGTAGGGTGAAAACCAGCCAGCCTCACTCCACCTGCAAGGGTAACAGCGGCGTCACACAAACGCCCTTTGCGGAATGCGGCCATATTATGCGTGGGATGTGAGGAGGGAAGCGCATACATATTTATCTTTGCAGCTGGAGTGAGGCGACATGGCGCCTATTACCTAGCTCATCTTGAAGGCCTCTTTCCCCTATTCCTGTTCCCTATTTCCTGTTTGCTTTACCCCTCAATATTCCCGTTGGGGTATCCAACACCGCCTCTTTTCGACCCCACGAAGAGCATCACCACTAACTATGTCGGTGCCGTTCAGCCAGATCCTCCAAGAGGCCCCAACCAACCCTGCCCATGTTACGGGCTATACATCGGGGACAGGCAGGGACTGGGCCACCCGATACCCTCCTATCACCGGTACCAGATTGTCTGTGCACACTCGCAACGTTTTGGGGACAGATGGTAAGGAAGCAACCGTCGCCGGATGGGAAGCCATGGTCCCGCGCTTCAGCGACGACCAGTTGAGGTTGAACACGCTTGCTCAAAGGCCCAACCGGCGGCCTTACCGCCTCGGCACCGGGTCTGACATGGCTCTCTGGTTCCACACTGAGGTTTCAAACGTCGTTCTGGCCGCTTGGAACGGCACCCCTGCGGTTTTGCAAACTTCCGAAGCCAAGGCGTGGACTGAGCAGCCCTGTATGGAAATCGCCGATGTTACATATTCGCCGGTGGGTGGGGATAGGCCTCCGCTCGTTATCGGCGAGTTCAAAAGAAACCTCCTCAGGCGTGATCAATGGCAGGAGGGGCGCAATCCCTCTAAACCGCTGTCTCGAGAGCTTGGCTCCGGTAAGACACCACCTGACAACCAATTTGCAAGTCCAGATACGCGCACAAGTACAAGTGCCCCCAAATCTTCTGCTTCGACGGCGAGACCCTGCTGCTGCAGTTCCGCGCCAATATACCCGACCAGATCCAGCGGGAGGATTGCCGGGTCGACTGCTGGGTTATCCCGCGGGAGAACGCGGCGGGCGGTTGTACGCTGCGCCAGAGTCTCCATAACCTGCTCGTCCAGGGGTTCCGCCGCTGCCAGGGCTATGCCGCGGCCCCGAACCTGTCTGTCGACCGCTACACGCCGCAGTACCGCGAGTTTTTCTCGGGCCGGCCCGTCTTCGCCCACGACAACGGAGCGCTCAGGTATGAGCACCCCCAGAACGGGCCCATTTGGAGGTGATCTATTTTGTGTGTATATAGCTGTATCATGCTCTCCCTCTGGCAGATTGACTCCTTCCCTTTTTATACATTTGCAGCTTGCCTCTCGTGTTTCGTTTGGGTGTATGAGGCCATTATCGCAATCAGAACCGCTGTTCTGATTGTCCTGGCTTTTTAGCTTTGATGGGAGGGGTCTCCTTTTGTCTAATGCCCTGATATTGGGCTGGAAAGTGTCCTGCCTGGCTGATTTATCCCCGGCTTCGAGCCGCCACGGTGGTAACCAAGGGTAGCACCCAGGCAAGTGCACACACCCATCCCCGAGATAAACACGCCTTCCCCCACCAGCTCACGTTTCCCTTCCTTAATGTCCAAGTATATCCGTCCTTGAAATATTAAACCCCGGCCCGCCGTATACCAAAATATACATTTCGATTATTTCCATCACTACCGGACCAATGGGGCTGTCAGACAGGCAGGCTATTACGGACACAGACGTGCCGAGGAGTGGGCAGGACGCCGCGGAGCACGCGGGTGATGCGAAGCCGGATTCGAGCTCAGAGTCACACTCATATTGGTACCCCGTTCGAGGTAACTTGTCCCCTAGGCCTTTCATCGAATCCAAACATCTGCAAATTTCTAGAGGCTAAAGCTCGAACCAGGTCTGCGTTGTCTTCCGCCCTTGGTAGCGCCCAAGACGGTTCCTTGGGAGGTCAACCTCAGCGCCATCAACCTTAGGCGACTCATAGCCGGTTTCTTGCCCGATGATGGCGACGATCGATGGGTTATGTATGCCGAGGACCCGCACCCGCCAGAGGGGGACATCACGGTCAGAATCTTCAAGGTCCTTGGGCGTGTATGTTGGGTGTTGCACCTGAAGCGAGGGGGCAGTGATGGTGGTGACGGTGGTGACGGTGGCAAAATATATGCCCTCACTTGGGACCAGGACTTGCATGGGATGCAATACCCAGAGGAAGAAGCGAAGAGAGAGGCCATCAAGTTTGCGAGGATGCTTACCGATTGCGATTTCGGCGGGCTCCAGGGGTAGAGGGTGAAGCAGCGATGTTTGCGTTTTTTTATATGTGCCTACTACCTAGGTACCCAGAGGCAGGCACCTACAAGGTATTTATTACTGATTGGCTGCCTTTATTCTCAAGATCAACTTAGCATGGATCTGCTTCACAACCGTCGCTCGTTCTGGCAAAAGACTTTGTGGGCTCTTGCCCTTGGCAATGCCAATACCTAAGCTACCAGTGTGAATTCTGGTTTCAGATTGATGCGACTCAGAGCAACGTACTCCATTATGTGCTAGAATACGACTGAAGAGCGCTCGAAGCAGCCCAAGCTAGGCCTGTGTGACAGTTTCAGACGGTGTGACCGTAATGGGCCTACATTTTTTCTCCTTTTATCTCTTTCTAGGTTTTCAGTTGCCTCTCTCACACCACCGCCCTCATCCACCCCGTGCCTTCAATCACCAAAATCGCAGGACACGTCCGTCAAGCCCACGATTCCGATTCTCATTACAATGTCGCCGCCAAAACCACGGTTCATCGTGGCCACGGCTAGGTTGGCCGTTCCCAAGTCATAGCCCCCTTCTCGCCGATGACGCCGTCTCCGAGCCACGGCTTACTTGTCACCAACAATCCGTCCTTGTACGATCCGTCGAGTCAACAACTTGAACGTCGTGCTGCGCGTTACTAGAAGCCGTACACCTCTCGGTGAGCTCGCCGGTCCCGCTCAGGGTTGACAGGCAGAAACATGTAGAAACGGGCAGTGAGACTGCGTTTCCTCCCCTTCCCCAAAGGAACACTCTCGAGCGAGCTCGGCCTAGAAACAACCACACGCACTCTAATATTGGGCTTGAATCGCAGTGGACGCCGGGACTGCTGTCGAACTTCTCACAGAAAGGCCACCCGGTGGGTTTGAGACCCTAGGGGAACAGACCCTGAGGAGCGGCATCGTGAAGGAGACTAAAATCGCATCCTCCTGCACCGTCAGCTCGATAAACACTGGTCGTCAGCGCTCAGGGGAGGGTGGGCCCCTCCCGAAGCAAGAGACCGGCCATCGGTAGTTTCCTCTTGAGGAGCCGGGGATCTCCTAGTATATATCGCCCTCCGGTCAAGAAAGACTGTATGGTTAATGGCTCGCAGGGAGCCGGCGGCCAGCGAAGCCGAACCCTACAATCCACTCACGGAACCACCTGGGCTGCGCCGACGCGGCAACCTCGGCCGTTGGTTGAGGTGCGTATGGGTAATCTTCTAATCCGTATCGCCCCTCATCCCTGCCGTGATCATTGGCCAAGACCGTGATCTGACTGCATTGTCGGTCCTGTCTCGCATTCTTTATTCCCTGGCAGACTTAGTCTGGGGGAGCACTCGCCTGAGTGGCCCTTAGATCCATGCCTGGTATGTTTTCCATTTCGCTCATCACTTCCTTCGGATCATTAAACTAGCATAATTATGTGGGACATAGCATGGCACGTGTGGTGATGGCGCAAGGTTTGTGTGAAGGTCGCTTGTCGATGAGGTCACTGGAAGCGTCGACTTCGCAGCCGAGCTTCAATCAACATTCCGTACGGTTCTGATTTTGTCGACTACTGTTTCGAGGTTGGCCACGATCTACTTTGTGTTCGATGTGCAGCCGTACATTGATGGCGTCCAAACAACCGTGCCGCCTCTTGAACCAACAGCCTGATCTTTGTGTCCAGTATATTGGAGTCTACCAGCTCCCCGGCTCAGAGCATTAAATTTCCTGGCGTGCACGCCGAGCGGACCGAAAGCCCAATGGAGATAAAAGAATATAAGCAACCCCCTGTGACAAACGGGCATGGATGGGGTGGGCCAACCTCAGCCATCACGACAGATGGGTGATGCTCACCATGAGACAGACCAGTTTATTGGTTTTGATACTGGCCGTGGGGTACCCGAGACAGCCACAAAACTGCGCCTTCCAAAGAGTCAGGAAGGGGGTCTGAGATGGGGCTACTTATTTTTTGTGCTTCTGTCATGCGAGTGTGGTCAGGATACAAGGGGTTGCCGATGGCTGGCGCTCGGGGAGGAGAGAGTGAGACGGGAGACATTGGGGTTCGACTAGAGTTTTTTCAATCTCGCCTTTGGCATGTATTTGGTCAAGCGTACTCTCCACAACCAAGAGGCCCTTCTATCAAAATACTGGTGTCAAACGTCGTCCTTTTTTCATTGTATGGTCGGGCTCACCAAGGGGCAGATGGGTAAAAGGATAGTCGGCATGCTAGCCCAGGTATGCCGCCGGCGGTGGGCGGTCCTGGCGCTCGCCGCTTTCACCATGACCGTCGTCGTCCTCGGCTCAGCCGGCTCGTACAGGAGCGATATCTACGACCCGTCAGGAACGCGGCGGCTAAGATCAAGGACCACGTCGTCAAGGGCAGCAGCAGCAACAACAACAACAGCTACAGCAACAATGGCAATGGCGGCCACGGTGGTGAGGCGCAGGGTTACGATTCTGCTTCAAACAGAACCCTCGGGATCGAGTCGATCCAGTTCATCAACATGGACTACCGCTACGTCCGCCTCGACGCCCTCGCCATCCAGTGCTACATGTCCGACATCGAGGTGAAGCCCATCCTGGGGTTCCCCAAGGACAAAGCGGGGTCCGAGGTGGTCGGCTTCCCCCCGACGAGCAACCTGAGCAGGCTCGGGCCGCCAGAGGTGGCCACATGGCGGGCACATGCCAATGTTTGCCACGCCAACTCTGACGCTTTCACCAGTGTTTCCCTTTTCCCATACTCCCCCTTTTTTTTCTGACAAGCAGTCTTCAACACGATCAAGGTCTGGCAGCAGATGCTCATGAAGCGGTCCCCAGCCGTCCTGATCATGGGGTCGGACGCTGTGTGGGACACGCAGCTGCGACGCATAATGGGCAACCTCAACGGGCCCTTCCTCGACCTCCTCCACGCCGACAACCCCAACGGCAACATGGCGGTCGGCCGGGACGACCCCTAGGCGGCGCGCAGCGGGCTCTGGGACATACTCAGCCTCGGCCAGTGCAGCGGCCACTGGAAGGAGGGCACGGGCTTCCGGCTGTACCGGGACGAGTTCGCCGCCGCGGCTGGTTCGGCAACGACCCTGGCCGGCAGGCGCGTCGTGTACCGCGCCGGCGGCATGGTCTGCCTGACGGGCTACGTCGTGTCGCTCAGGGGCGCGGCCAAGCTGCTGGCGCGCACGGCCATCAACCTGGACCAGCCCGTCGACATCGTCGTCGACAGCATGATGAAGGGCGGCGAGCTCGTCGGCTACAACACCCAGCGCCAACCCGTCGCCCAGTGGGTCTACCCATCCGGCCTCGGCATGGAGATGCGCGGCGCCAACAGCGACATCCGCCCCAACGGCTCCGAGAGCTGCCAGTCCGGCGATGACGGGTCCAGAGCCAGCTGGCCCGACGCGGAGAGGAGGGGCTCCGTCTGGGATATCAAGCCGCAGTACGCCGGCGTCGACTTCCCTGACTTTGGGCTCGGCCACGCGTGGAAAAAGATCGCCGAGACAAAGAAGAAACTTCCCTTTTAGGGGCGATGACGGATCTCACTGGGCTTTACCTTCGCCCCGTTTCTGTTTCTACTTGCTTTCCACTTGTTTTTCCTCTCACATTTACACTCGTCCTACACCTCCTCTATCCGGCGGTGGGTCCGTTTATGGATCAACTCGGCACAAACGCCAGGGTGGGAAGACATACTGAGCGAAAGATAATACTGTATGATGTGGCTTATGTCAGAATAGAGCGTGGTGGTTTATAGAGAGTGCAGAGGCACAAAGGCCAGGCTGGGAGTTGAATGGAAAATGATCTTGTGCCCTCGGTATTTGTGGGGTTGTTAGATCGTTGTGGTCGATGTGATCAACGTCGAGTGCCGAGAAGAACACTGCTCCGACACGGCATCGTAAAAGATAGAGAGGACGACGACCGACTCCCAAACCGCTTGAAAACAATTTTATCGATCTTCCAGCTACCCAACCATGTGCAGAGTTGCGGCAAGGCCGTGGTGTTTTCCAAATGTGGGGCATTTCCTTGGTAGCATGCGCTCCATCTAGGTCATGTCTGCATTCTACGAGGTGTGAATGTTATATCCCAAAGCGCAATCCTTTACGGCTGTAGAAGGATTCCGTCGTCCCCTATCTTAGTCTGCTTGACTTCTTTGTCATCAGGGCACTAGCGCAAGCCTACATAACCTCATCACTCACCAGCTCCTCTCATCCCAAAGTCAAGAGTTTCCACACAGCCACTCACCAGGAAGCATCCGTTTCTCAGCCATCCTCGCCGGCGTCCCCGAGGCCGCTCTTGAGACGATGGAGGCCCGCAGCAAGGCCGACGCTACCGTGTCCCGCCTGAGCTGCGCCTCCTACCGCTACCGGAACAGCGGACGCAACGTCAAGGTGTACAACGCGTCAAGATGCCGGGTGCTGAGCGCCATCCAGGGCGGCCCCTTGGCCTGCTGCATAGTGCCAAGCAGTTCCAGCTTCTACATTCCCTGCTACACACCTCTCGCTTCGCGCTCCTCGCGCACTTGAATGGGAGGCGCCCAACACCCTCCCTAGCAAGACAACTACTTACTCCCGGTCGACTTCTCCGCAAAGCCTGAGGGAGCTCTCATCTCATCACCTGCAGCCCAAGGTACCTTCTTTCACTTTGCCGGAAAGAACTAAGCACGCCCCTTTGCTCTGATGCTCAATTGCCCGTGGCGCCCTACCCTGAGTTGCTGCCTTTTTTCCTCCTAGTCGGCAAGGACCCGGCTCTCTATCCATCCGTATATGCTATGTACATACTTTGTCTTGGTAACTGGCGGGGAATCACCGTTGAGGCCCTCGGGCGCGGATAAAGAAGTGCCGAGCTTGTATTTCTAAGCAAGGAATTCACTGAGCAGTCTGCTATCCCAACCTCTAGTGGATATTGCGGTTATCTTCAGCAGCTTGGTTACTGAAATGAGATGGTCAGTGACTGCTAAAATACAAATATACTTCCACGAATTCATAACCCTGTGCCCTGTCTCCCGAGAAGGGGTTGCCGAGTACCGAGCATCGACGGCAGTGTCCACAATCGGAGGAGCAGGTTTTTAATGTCCGGATCCGGTGCGCCGAGCCCCGGGCATCCGCTGTTGATTCTCGATCATTTCATCCTCGTGCGTACCTAGGTAGGTACCTATGTAATAACAGCAAAAGGCCCTCATGAAGACATGGGCAATAATTCTTGGTCCCATTCAAGAATCCCCACGTCTGCAGGTGTACGTACACACTCCTATCACAGGGTGAGCGCAAAGCACAGATGCATAGAAGTTGTATTATGAGAAGGAATAACAGCAGAGTTAGAAGCGGAATCAACGTCCAAGTTCCGGAAACGGGCCGCCATCCGTACCATCTGGTCGAACCCAACCACACTTATCTGCCGCAAAAACATTGGTGCACCGCTACCCAACCATTGCGTTATGTTTGGGAGACTCGTGGTGCATCTGTTCGAACAGAGCATTACGTCATACTCGAATGGGTTCCAGACCGGAAACAAGGTGGTTCCCTATATGGAGTGCACTTGATGACCTATGCCTTGCACAGAAGCTCCCTCACAGCAGGGAAGCCACAATGAGTTTCGTGGCAACGTCCATCAACAGACTGGAATCAGAAGGCCTATTTCTTTGGTTCGTAGTTCGTGATGAAATCTCTGTCCTGCGATGCCTGCATTACTAACATGCTGATAGCCAAAGGTACTTAGGTACCTACGCAGACAAGCGCCTAGGTAAATCTGTAGCAGTGAGTTCCCTCCACCACTTCTGGATGAGCACCACGCCCTCTTGATCGGACACACCTTGAGCTTTGCCCTACCTTCGTTGCCCCGAACGCGGGAATCTTTCTCTCCCTGGGGATTCGGGTACACGGGCGTTGGGCCAACATGCTTGCCGTTCTTGAAAGTATATCTCCGACAAAAAAAAAAAAAAAGAAGTATGGATTACCCGCTGAGCTTGTTGTCTGCAACGGCTCATCTTTTGTTCTCGGGGGTTTGTGCTGGTGATCCTGCCGTCGAATGTTCGTTCCCTTGTTCCACCCCAATAGCACCGATCCCTCCAGCATTGCTAGTGGGCGGGGCGGGTGGTGGTTTGCAGCACAGGTCCTCAGAATCGACGTAAGCGCCCCACTCTTGCGTTTATCAACCCGACGTGTTGGGCGTGTTATCAACAGCCATGACTTTCGTCACTTTACAATTTGGGGCTTCAAAAAGGTGGGTTTACTGCCCGTGTTCAATCTCATGTGCTTCAAAGATATATCCTTGCGGTTTCAAAAGGAAATGTAAGCAAAAATCCGGAGAAAAAAAGAGAGAAAAAAAATCGTTCGCCACGTGGACATCACTTTTGCAGTAGACAGAGAGAAGCCAGAGGGCTGAGGCATGTTAATGTGGTCAAGGTCAATGATATGCCTCACATCCGGGAGGGCTTCGGTGGTCGCGGAACGGCGGTCGCGACGGCACGAAACACGGGGACAAGTGGGACCGCGCGGAGGGCAGGGAGCTAAAAAGAAAACAAACGCCACGGGCAGGCGCGGATGGAAGCGCGCAACTGGGCCAACAGTTGGGCTGCAGGAGGCCCTGGCCAATGGGGTCGCGGGGAGGTAGGCGGCACCCCTGCCAGAGGCCCCTGGCTGCGTCCTCGAGCCTTTGCTGCTAGCCAGTCGGACGCGTCGACGCCGTTTGGACCGCCGCCGCCACACCTCTGGCCGAGCACTAGGCAATCTGAAAAAAACAAAACAAACAAACCCCCCCTCCACGTCAACTGCAACGGCTTGGATGGCAGGCGCTGCCGTTTGAGGGGGTCGGGATTAGGTGCGTTCCTGCAGGCCTCCTTGGCTGTGGCCCAGCTCTCTCCCAACCAAGGCCAAACACAAGAGGACGCGACAAAAGTCCGGCCATGGTCGTGGGCGCCCTGGGGGGCAATCGCTACACTCTCTGTTGCGTGCGGGGTGGCATGGGATGCACGTGTTGGGGGGTGTTTATTGTTCCTGAGCATCGTGCAGGCGTTTCCAGCGCGTGCGCCACCGCCCTCGATAGCCATGTTTGTTGTTGCAGGGTGGATTCCTTTTGAGTCGCGCTCCATCCCTTTCCCCTTGAATCCATCACTCGAGACTGTCAACATTGCCAATCAGGTGGCTGTTGTTGCTCCAAAACGCAATGGTGTTTCTCGTGCACGAGCCCGCCCGCTTCTCACGCTTCTCCCATTCAAGTGTTTGGTTTCGACAGTATGCATCGTGCAGCCAGGGGCGGGTTATGATCAGTGCTTGCAAGCCAGCCCAGCCCAGCCTCCCCGCAATGCGTGCTGTGTTCTGCAACTAGGTGGCCGGCAAGAGGCAAGGCACTGATGCGCGCTGGGACAATGACGAAAAAGAAATGGGGACTTTGAGCACTGAACACGGGACAGCAACAAGGGAGCGGGTCGAGTGGTGAAAGCAGGGAGTTGTTCTTTGTGAGGACGGGACAGTTTAGCTGTACCTACCCAGGTGAGATAGATTAGGTATTATAATCTGATCTGCTCGATATCAGCGGCCTTGCTATAGTCTGGTGTGACCTTCTCGTCCAGTATCGTGACCCGTCAACGCTGGCATGCATCGAGTCTTGACCTGACTCTAACCTGGGGCCCAAGGAGGAGAGAGTGAATTGAGGCCGAGCGTGTGAGCGTGCCTGAGCGTCCTGTGTTTTGACCCCAGCTGCCGACACGCCTTTGGACGGGAACCGCGCTATTCCGGATCGGGCCTAGTCAGCCTCCCACCTTGGCGCGACCGGCTCCCAGCTCCCAACCCCAAGCCTGCCCTCCAAGTTCCGCCTGCACCTCGACTCGCACCCATCAACACCCTCACGCACTGTCGCTTGCTGCACCTCCTCGCAGCACTACTCCTCCTACGGACCCCCAGCATTCATATCCGCCTTCCTGAGTCCTCCCGCCCGACCAGCTGCAACCCTCTCTTCGCCTCCCAGCTTCAAGCCATTCGCCGCCTTTTCCTTGTCGCCTCTGCGATTCACGATCCGCCCGCCAAGTCCGAAACCGATTCGAATGCGATAGGCCCTCACCAGTCTTGTTGCCTCGTCGACGCCAATTCCGACGCGCCTCCCACCAAACTGACAACCTTGCGCGCGCGCGCCAACCCAAATCGCTCGAGAGGACATCCTTCGCGGCAATCTCTGAGGTCTCGGGACTAAATCATTTTGGCCTATGCTTCAAGTTCCTCGCAATTCCGCCCGCAACTGAGGCCGATCCGAGATCCCGCCTCTCTCCGCCTTGACGAGCCAGCCACGAACCGAATCGCTACTGGCCCATCACCGCCACCCTTCGATACGACCTGCGCCCCGCATCCGAAGATGGGTGCCATCTCGGATGCTCTCGCCGGCAACGGCCTGGCATCATCATCGAAGCGCCCCGGCAGAGACCCGCGCAGTCCTGCAATCGCAACACCCGCGAGGAGCACCACCCCGCCTCCAGCTTCAGACCGCGCCCGCCTGGAGGCCAGGCATCATTTCGAGCCCAGTGGCTCGCGCAACTCGCGGGGCAGTGCACGGGCAAGCGACGTGGGTGTTGGCAGGGAAAGTGGCTTGGATGCAGATGCAGTGAACCATGCTCTCAGGCGGGAGATGCTGAGCAGGCAGCAGAGGGAAACCACGCCAAACGGAAGCCCGCACAGGAAACGCCAGCGGATAAATGGTGACAGGTGAGCATCCTCCGCCCTGCTGGCGACGCGTCGATGCCGCCTCGGCGAATGGATCGGGCGCTCGGATATGCTCACACGCTTGCCCGACAGATTTATCCCTACACGGTCAGGCCAGGATTTGCAGGCCGGCTTCAGTTTGCTGCACGAGGACGGCTCCCCAGCAACCCCCTCCAAACAGAAGAAGCGCACCCCTCACGGCGAGCTCCATTTCCAGAAGAGTATGTCCTCATTAGCAGCAAACCCCATGTCTTCGCCCTCTTCCCCCACGTTATGGATCTGGCGCACGGTTGCTGACTTCAACCTTAGCTGAGGAGGCAAACCGCACCTTCTCGACCTTGTTGCGAGCCGAGCTCTTTGAGAGCTCGATCCCGCAGGCAGCCCCCGCGCCAATAGATCACACGGTTCCATCAGCGAGGGGGTCCAATGTGCATGATGGCACCAGAGCACAAACACCTCCCCACAACCCCTCGCCGTCGCTCCCTGCCTCATTAACTCCCTCCACTCCCCACAAGAACCTCTTCTCGTACATGTCTCCTCGCCACAACAGCATCGGCGGGCACCCGACACCATCGCGGACGCCACAAAGTCGACACGGCCCCAACCTTGACACCAGGTCTGAAATCTACAGCCTCTCTCCCGTTCGTTTTGGCAGCCAGCAGATGCTCCTGAGTCCCCGTCGACAACCGAGAGCCGTCAGCAAGGTGCCTTATAAAGTGCTTGACGCGCCAGAGCTAGCCGACGATTTCTATCTCAATCTTGTTGACTGGGGCAGCGCCAACGTGCTGGGGGTAGGCCTGGGTTCCAGCGTGTACATGTGGAACGCACAAACAAGTCGTGTCAACAAGCTGTGCACCCTGGAGGACGACACAGTAACCAGTGTATCCTGGATCCAGAAGGGCACGCACATCGCCATCGGCACAGGCAAGGGCCTTGTGCAAATATGGGACGCAGAGAAGACCCGGCGTTTGAGGACGATGACCGGACACACCGCTAGGGTCGGCTCTCTGGCTTGGAACACACACATCCTGACATCGGGCTCCCGCGATCGCCTCATCTACCACCGCGACGTCAGGGCGCCTGACCAATGGCTACGGAAGCTCGTCGGCCACAAACAAGAAGTCTGTGGTCTCAAGTGGAACTGCGAAGATGGGCAGTTGGCGAGTGGAGGCAACGACAACAAGCTTATGGTGTGGGACAAGCTCTCGGACACGCCGCTCTGGAAGTTCTCAGATCACACTGCCGCAGTCAAGGCCATGGCTTGGTCTCCGCACCAGCGGGGGCTTCTGGCATCTGGTGGTGGTACCGCTGACAGGCGCATCATCTTTCACGATACCTTGCGAGGCACTGTCATCAACGAGATCGATACCGGAAGCCAGGTCTGCAACCTGGCCTGGTCCAAGAACTCGAACGAAATCGTGTCGACGCACGGCTATTCCCAGAACCAAATAGTGGTTTGGAAGTACCCTTCCATGACCCAGGTCGCCAGTCTGACGGGTCACACCTACCGAGTGCTCTATTTGGCCATGAGCCCAGACGGACGCACTGTCGTCACTGGCGCCGGCGACGAAACCCTGCGGTTCTGGAATGTCTTTGGCCGGCGGCCCGGGGCCCGCGAGGATGGCGAAAGCGGTGGACGGTTATCCGACTGGGGCGTCATCCGGTGATGACCCGCCAGTGACAGATTCTTGGCGCTCGCTCTAGCAAACTAATCCCGCATCTCTTCTGCTTGAGTGGCCCGCGGCCGCACCTCTCCAGGTTAGGGCATGGACTCGTCTCGGTAGGGGGGGTCGCTTCGAGCTTGGTTCCACAGACCTGGGTCCATTTTCTCCCACCTCTCTTCATTTTCTATTTCCGTGCCTTTCTCTTGCATTGCAGCGGTGTTCTTCATCATCCGGTTTTGACTTTTATCCTTGGTCCTCTAGCGGGGACCGGGCAGCAAACCTATTTTTATTCATGAATTGTTGGCTGGCTGGCTGGCTGGGTGAAAACGTGGCGGGTGCTCCTGGCGTACATAGTATTTTTATGATATCATGGGCTGGAAGGTTATGTGTCATGCCTTGGATATTGCGGTGAAGACTACAGCGGAATCAGGGGCTCTCTACGGCGGCGGTTACATCAGACTCTGGGGACGGGTCAACAGCCCAGTCGGCACGGAACTCATGGCCAAGCATTCATGTAATCGACGCAGCCCAGACCCCCGTCGCGAGGTGAATCATGACAACTTTCCGTGCGTTTTGCGGTGCAATCCCTTTTGCAATTTGATACTGGGAACTGACCCGAGTGCAAAGATGAGCAGGAACGCTCTCCCTCTGGTCTTTGGCTTATGTGAGCACGTTGGATGGGCTAGCTCGGCCTACCAACCTTTGTCCATCAAAGCTATAGTAACAGTACGATGTTCAAATAAGCGCCAGGCTTTCTTGGCCATGATTCCCAGACCTTTACTTGTATTGCAACAGAGCCACCCATCTTCAAGTATTTGTAGCTCTTCTCTGGCAAGAACGCCTAGTGGGTGCATAGAAGGATTTATCACGGATTGCAAGTCCCGGTATTCTGGCGTCTGAAGCACCGAACTAAGATTCGTTACGGGGTTACGACCCCCTCCCTACGTTGTTCATGTCATATCAAAGGCATAAAAGTCGATGTGTACTGCATTTAAGGATAAAGTAGTATCCAAGGTAGAGAGACATCTGGATATATTGGCGGGAGGAAAGGACGGAATCGCAGTCGTTGAAAAACGGGTTGGCCCTGCCGAGCAGGCGGCAGATGTGTGTCGTCGTTACCATTCCAGGAGGCCACAGAATCCAGTTCAGGCGCACCGTGCGAGGGATCTTATTCGGATGGAAAGCCAAGATAACACGCGAACAGAGCAAGACACCTCGACAAGAGCATGGATCACTCAAGTACTACCCAATGTTGACGGCGAAAAAAACAGAAAAGAACAAGAAAAAGAAACAAAGCATGCCCATCATTATTTCCGTTCTCTGGCAATATTCCGAGCCCCACTATCGGCGCCTGTTGCAGAGATCTGGTTCTCGTCATTGAGCAGAGGGATGACGTTGATGGCTTCGTGTGCCGCCTTCTTGGCTGGGCCACCCGAAGGCGTGGTCGACTCGAACTCGGTGTCGTCCCCGTCACCGCCCATGCTGCTGGCGCCGTCATGGACGGGGCCGAGGGACGGGCTGGTCAAAGACTCTGAGTGGCTCTGCCACTTTGAGACCTCGGCCTTCATGGACTCGAGTTCCTTCTGGAAGCGTTTGCCAAAGACGTCGATGTAATAAGTAGCGCCGTTGTGGACGCTCCAGCCGAAGACGAAGAGTAGGAAGGCGGCAGAGGCCCACCGGCTGTAGAACCAGATGGGACAGGGCAGCATGGTCAAGACGGCATACGAATACTGAATCATCATGAAGGCGGCCTCTTGAAGAGTGTTAGGCAGGGCTAGGATGATGCGGCCGATCCAGGTCTTGGAATAGGACTTGCGCAACCAGGTAAAGGAGGTGGGGCGGCCGGCGGCGATCTTGTCGCGACGGCGGACCGTGATGAAGAAGTAGTACGAGAGCTGCCAGAAGGCATATGGTATGGTAGACCAGGCCAGCATGGAGATGACATTGGCGTATGCGGTCGGAGAGCCCTTGGGCGAGTGCTTGACCTGATAAATTGCCGGAAATCGAGCCTCCTGGTAGGCCATGTCGACCAGGTGAACGATGCAGTGCAGCGTGGCGCAGGGCATGATGTGGATGAAGAGCGAGGTGACCTTGTCGAAGCTGTGGAAGACGAGCGAGTTGCGCCACATGACGATGGCGATGGCGTTGTTCCCAAAGGCGAGGCAGTAGACGGCCGTGAAGAGACGCTTGGAACCCGGGAAGACCCAGATGCTCAGGAGCAGGAGGAAGTTGACAAAGTAGCAGAGATCGGCAAGGAAGTAGTGGTAACCACGACGATGGTAGGTAACGAAGCGGATGGGCAGAAAGTAGAGCACCTGGGCCGTGTACCACAGTGGCATCCACTCGGGGAAGCCGCCGATGAGATAGCCACTGATGAAGATATTCATGACGCCGCAGATGAACGAGACCTTCTCGCGCGCCGTCACAGCCTTTGTGTCGTTCCACTGGCGGCCCAGCTTCTCAACGCTCGTGCGCATGCGCTTGCGGTACCGTTCCAGCTGCTCGTCGGCTGACGGCACGCGCTGCCGCCATTCCTCCACCATGCGCTCGCGCGCCACCTGCCCCCTCGCGCGGAGGGCCTGCCGGGATTTGGAGATGCCCTTCTGGATCTTGCCCAGCTGTAGTTCGAGCTGCTGCGGGAACGCGAAGTTGTCGAGCAGGTCGAGCACGGTCAGGCGGTCCAGTGGCGGCAGCGCCTCCCAATCCTCATGGTACGAGCTGCTGCCCGAGAAGGACGGGTTGCGCGACAGGCGTTGGCTCTTGGGTGTTGTCGCCCCAAGCGTCGGGGTCTCGGGGAGCATGGGCGCGGCGTTGCTCTCGGCGCGCTCGCGCGGCGATGACGACCCTTGCGACGTGGCGCCTTCGTCTGGCGTCATGATGTGCTCGCTGTCGGTCAAGGTGCTGGTCGATTTGGATTTAGGGATCGGTGTCGGCTTCAGATCTGGTTCTGACATGTTGGCGGACGTGGTCTGGAGTTGTGTGCTGGGCTGGGGAAGTGGCTGGTTAGATTGCAATGACCAGAGTAACAATCGTTGGCTAATAGGGGATAGAAGGCTCGAGACAGATGCCGTGCAGCCAAGCTGTTTTTGTATTGGATGGCTTCATACATACCAGGCAGAAATGGGCACCTCAATGGCACGATGCCAACGCCGGGCTCACAATGAGAGCAGCCCTTTGGAAACGGAAACGGGCAACCGAGCCTTTTGTTGAGAATATGCGCAGCAAAGAGAGGATGCCAGCCGAAGAGTGTCCAGGTAGTCCACCGTAGAAGGTAAGCTCAGGCTTGTGAGACGGGTTGAGATCTGAAGGTGGGGGGTAGAGTCCGAGGTCGGTGTGTGCCAGGTGACAGCCAGTGTCGAGACGACTTTCTAGTCGGAGTCGTCGGCGAAGCGGGCGAGCTCACGGGAGCACAGCCTTGTGGTGACAGCGTGCGCGGGTGTTGGGAAGGGGACTAGGGAGTTAAAAGGGCCAGGTGACGCAAACGAGTTCGAAGGATGGAGGGCCACAAACTCTGCCTTCGTCACAAGGCCTTCGTCTGGCCTTGGGCGGTTTTGACGTTGATATGCAGGTGCTAGTGCGACTCAAACGCCCCTACTTGTCCAGCTCCAGGAAGGACGTGTCGCTGGACTGCGCTCTGGTTGGACGAGCCGTCGAGGACAGAGTCCCATGCAGAGTCATTCGCCAGGCCACAAGACCCCTCTATTTGCCCAATAGCTGGTATCTCGATGCTGGCCTTTGTCTGGCGTGGTGGGAATGACTTCCAAGTCCCTCGGAAGCCTTCCAGCAACAGACTGGAAACACCGGGCTTTAGAAAGCATATCCTGAAGGGCTGAAGACGGAGGCATCCGATCTCAATCTTCCCCATTTCAGCCCGTCAACTTGCCCATCCCGATAGAGGCCCCACAAATGACATATTGCACCCACTTCGTCCCGCTGTTCTCCCAGCTCGATGGTGGGAGAAGTGGCTGGAGTGGCTGGCCCCTGGGGCGAGCCCTAGCCACAGCTTATAGAGCCGGTGGAGCTGGTCAGCCACAGCTGCCAAGCCGGGGCACCCTGACCAGCGGGTGCAGGCATGGGTGCTTTCCCCTCCAACTAATCCGAATCACGACATGGCGTCGCGTAAATTCTGGGTCGCTTGGTCGCGCGCCTCCAACACGGAAATGCGACACGGCGGCTCTTGACTACTGCGCCGCCCAACTCTCAGCTTTGACGTGATCGCTGCTTTAAGAGGCCTGACGCCCATCATCGCGAAGCGCTTTTTGCGCAAATAGTCCAGACATCCCTTCTACTTGGCCATCTCTACTTCCCCCTAGTCTCGGCGCGTCCCGGCGCGACCAGAATCTGCAACATGGGGAAGCTACTTCGGTTGGAGCTCTCCAGTAGGCCGTCCCCTCACCCTCGCAGCTTTGCCATCGACGGTCGAAGGGCATGCGCTGACCTGTCGCAACAGACTTCAAATCCTACAAGGGTCACCACACACTCCTTTTTGGTGATTCCTACTTCACATCCATCATTGGACCCAATGGCTCCGGCAAATCCAACTCGTAAGGCGCCAGCTTGTGCACACCATTTCCCTGACCTGCCTCGCATCATGCTTCGGCTCTGACCTCTTGGCGCGACTCTAGCATGGATGCCATCTCCTTCGTCCTGGGCATCAAATCGAGCCACCTGCGGTCGACTCATCTCAAGGACCTGGTCTACCGTGGCCGTGTCATGAAGACGTCCAAGATCAAAGAGGACGGCTCCGCAGAAACCCCAGAGACCAACGGCCACTCCAATGGCGCCCAGAACGGCGGTGACGAGTCCTCGCGAGCCTCACGAGGCGACCCGAAAACTGCGTGGGTCATGGCCGTGTACGAGGACGACGCAGGCGACGAACAGAGGTGGAAACGATCCATCACGAACCAGGGAACCAGCGAGTACCGCATCAACGACCGCGTCGTTACCTCCCAGGCGTACAACCAGGCTCTCGAGGACGAGAACATCCTGATCAAAGCCCGCAACTTCCTCGTCTTCCAGGGCGATGTCGAGGCCATTGCCGCCCAGTCGCCCCAGGACCTTACCCGTCTCATTGAGCAGATCTCTGGTAGTCTCGAGTACAAGGCCGAGTACGAGAAGCTTAAGGCGGATCTGGAGCAGGCTTCTGAAAACCAGGCGTTCATGCTGCATCGTAGGCGGGGCATCAACTCGGAAATAAAACAATACCAGGAGCAGAAGAGGGAGGCCGAGGTGTTCCAGAAGAAAACCGAGGAGCGGGACGAAGCCATCGTGATGCAGATTCTCTGGAAGCTATACCATTACCAACGCATCATGGACGGGTCGAATGATACAATTCAGGAACACCACGAGAACCTCAAGGAAGTCCGACGCAATGTGGATGCCTTTCAGAAGCAGCTGGATGCCGCCATGAAGGAGCAGGCGGCCGTTGGCCGAAAGGCCGGCAAGATCGAGAGAGCCATCAAAGAGAAGGAGAAGCAGATCGAGGACGAGGAGAATAGCCTCATCCCGATCCAGACAAAAGTTCGGGAGAGCGTCAACAGCGCCGAAGTTCGGAACAAACACCTCGAGAACCAGAGCAAGGTGCGCGACGAGCAGGCCGAGGCGGTTCAGCGACACACAAAGGAGTTGGCCAAGGTGGAGAAGGATGAGAAAGTTTTCGAGGCGCAGTGGAAGGAGAAGCTGAAGCATCAGGGCAAGGAACTGAACGAGGCCGACCGAAAAGAGTACGACCTTCTGCGCCGTCAAGCCGACAACAAGGTTTCCGACAACAAGCTCAAGCTGGAGCAGCTTACCAGACAACTCAAAGGCGACGAAGTGACATTCAACAGTCTGCAGAGCAAAGTCGACGTCTCAGATTCGGTGGTGGAGAAGCTGCAGGCCGAGGTGGAATCCATCGAGAAGACGGAGGAATCGCTGCAAATCTCGGAGCGTGAACGGGCCGCCGAGATCGAAGAGAAGAAGAAGGCCTATAACACCTCGCAGTCGGAGAAGACGAGAATCCGGCAGTCGCACACCGAGATCGAGGAGAAGCTCCAGCAAGCTGCAGCAAAGCTCTCAGAGGCGACGGCGGGCAGGCACCAGAGTGCCAAGGAGAGGGATAGGAAGGAGACCTTGGCCAAGCTGAAGCAGCTCTACCCTGGCGTCAAGGGCCGGGTGGGGGAGCTCTGCAAGCCCAAGCAGAAGAAATATACCGAAGCTGTCGACACAGCCCTCGGTCACGACTTCGACACCATTGTGGTCGAAACCAACAAAGTGGTTGACGAATGCCTGGACTACCTCAAGAAGCAGCGGCTGCCGCGCATGCACTTCATCCCCCTAGACAACATCAAAGCAAACACCCCTTTCTCGGCTCTCAAGGGCAAGCCCGGCGTTCGTCTGGTGATCGACACCATCGATTTCGACCCGTCTGTCGAGCGCGCCATGGCCTACGCCTGCGGTAGCTCCATCGTGTGCGACAACTTCGAAATCGCCAAGTCGATCTGCTATGACGAGAAGTTCGCCGTCAAAGCCGTGACTCTGGACGGCAAGCTCATCCACAAGGGCGGACTAATGACGGGTGGTCGCTCGCATGACAACAACAAGGGGGGCAGGCGCCGGTTTGACGAGCAAGATGTCCAACACCTGCAGGAGATGGTGCGGGAGTTCCAGAACCAGCTGGAGGAGCTGCGGCGTAGGGATTCAGAGCTGCGCGACACCGACTACATTAGGGAAGAACTCTCCATGCTCGAGCGGGCGGTCAAGAATGATCGTGCAGAGCTCAAGGCGCTCCGCAAAAACCTGCAAAGCAAGCGGAAGGAGCTAGACAATGCCGAGACCGAGCACGGGAAATGGCAGTCCAAGTTGGAGGAAAAGTTGGGGGAACTGGAGCAGTCGCGACAGAAACTCACGCAGTTCAAGGACGCCATCGCCGCTGTCGAAGACGCCATCTTCGGCAACTTCTGCCAGAGGCTCGGATACGCGAATATCCGCGAGTACGAGGTGCAGAAGGGTAGTCTGGAGTCTCAGGCTGCGGCAGAACGTAACAAGTTCGAGATCCAGAAGCAGCGTGTGGCTTCCGCCCTCAGCTTCGAGACAAACCGACTGAGCAACACGGAGAAGAGGTTGCGCGACTTGCAAGAGACCCTTGAGCGCCTCCAGGAAGACATCGAAAACTACAGGCAGCAAGAGGCAACCGTCAACGAGAACCTGGAAAGTCTGCGCGACGAGCTGACGGCCTTGCAAGAGACTCTCGAGGAAGTCAAGCAGGACCACCAGCGCAAAGTTGCCAAGGTCCAAGAAGCGAGGGCCGAGGTGCAGAGCAGAAGCAAGGAAATCGACACGAGGCAAAAGGAGATCGATGCTCTGGAGACCGAGGTACAAAAGAACAGTGCGCTCAAGTTCTCGCTCTTGCGGAAATGCAAGATTGAGCAGGTCCAGATACCGCTGAAGAAGGGCTCGCTCGACAAGCTGCCCAACGAGGACAACTTGCTGAATCCTGATGCGGACGCCATGGATGTGGATGAAGGCGACGACGGAATGATGGAGGCTGCCATGGACGACCATGGAATCGAGGTCGACTACAAACTTCTGCCCGACGAGTACAAAAACGTGAGTATCTCTCGCTCAACTTCAGGCGCTATGTATCAAGCTAACATCAACCACGAACAGTCCAACGAGGACCGTGTCGAGGATGCGCTCGAGAGTAAGATCTCGGACCTCAACTCGGACCTCGAAAAGCTGAACCCCAACATGCGCGCCGTGGAGCGCCTCGAGACGGTCGAGACCCGACTTAAGCAGGTCGAACAGGAGTTCCAGAAATCCAAGGCTGCCTGGAACGCTGCCCAGGACGCCTTCAATGACGTCAAGGCAAAGAGGTTTGAGCTGTTCGACAAGGCCTTCAAGCACATTCAACAGCAGATCACACACGTCTACAAGGAGCTCACCCGGTCCGAGGCCTACCCTATTGGTGGCCAGGCCTATCTCGACATGGAGGAGGACACCGAGACGCCTTACCTGTCCGGCATCAAGTATCACGCCATGCCGCCGCTGAAGCGCTTCAGAGACATGGACCACCTATCCGGCGGCGAGAAGACCATGGCCGCCATGGCACTGCTCTTTGCAATCCACAGCTACCAGCCGAGTCCATTCTTCGTGCTGGACGAGGTCGACGCCGCCCTGGACAATGCCAACGTCGACAAGATCAAGAAATACATCCGCGAGCATGCTGGACCAGGCATGCAGTTTATCGTCATTTCCCTCAAGCCCGGGCTGTTTCAGGATAGCGAGAGCCTTGTCGGCGTCTACCGAGACCAGGACGTGAACAGCTCACGTACTCTAACTCTCGATGTGAGCTCTCCTCCTTTGTCCTATGATCTGGTCTCATTGCTAACTGTGAAAATCGCTAGCTTCGCAAATATCAATAATGCTTACCGGAGATTTGTCATGTTCTTGGACGCTTTACTCATTCGGGCCGGCTGGAGTTGTCGATGGCGCCTGGGGCTATCGTTACTGTTTTATCAAACGCGACCATTGTTTGAGGCGCGTGTTTACTTCAACTTTGGTGTGAATACCACGGCGCTTTTGTCACATTTTCTTGCATTTGTAGACACACTTTTCTCATATCCAAGAACCAGCTCCTGGATCTCACCCACCTTTTCTCGGCGCTCAACTGTTGATTTATGGACGATCCGACATGGGAAAGATTACCTCGTCGCCCACGTGACATGCACGTGCTCCGCCGAACCCGCACGAGGGGTGGCTTCCAATGTGGCGTCCCACGCCCGACCCGCTTACGTTATGTTATAGCCGGTCCCGCAAGACGGCAACCCCCACCGACGCACTTGCCCTGAGTCGAAATCCCACACGAATTTTAATTCATCTGCGGCGGACTGGACTTTTTGTGAACGGCGACAATCTTCCCTTTCGAACTTCTAGCAAGCCTCTGTCAACAACCGAACAGCCGTCAAAATGCGTACGTGCGATGCCCGCTGAACTCGCCATGAGACCTTTGGCCTATCTTGCTAACTCGATCTATCCCCAGCTCCCAAGTTCGACCCCAATGAGGTTAAGGTGATGTACGACAGCACCGACCCTTTACGATATTCTCTGGCGCGCAGGGGCCACGATTTTGGGCGGGCGCATCGCGACGACGGCGAATTGGACTGACGGCGACCTCGAAATACAGCACCCTCCGTGCCACCGGTGGTGAGGTTGGTGCCTCGTCGGCGCTGGCTCCCAAGATTGGTCCTCTGGGTCTGTCACCCAAGAAGGTCGGAGAAGATATCGCCAAGGCGACGGGCGACTGGGTAGGACGATGATCTCTCCCGCCTTCTCTGCGTGAATGCGCGGGCTCCTGGAGGCCCCGTGTTTTCTCGCCTGTACTAGAATAAGCGCTTACCACGATTTTTTTTTCGCACCGAATACAGAAGGGACTCCGCGTCACCGTCCAGCTCACGATCCAGAACCGTCAAGCCGCCGTCTCGGTTGTCCCTACTGCGTCGTCCCTGATCATCAAGGCCCTAAAGGAGCCCCCGCGGGACCGGAAAAAGGAGAAGAACATCAAGCACAACAAGTCCATCGCCCTCGAGGAGGTCATTGAGATCGCAAGGACGATGAAGTTCAAGTCGTACTCCAAGGAACTGAAGGGTTGCGTCAAGGAGATTCTGGGCACCGCATTCAGCGTCGGCTGCCAGGTTGACGGCAAGAGCCCGCGTGAAATCAACGCGGCCATTGATGCTGGAGAGATTGATAGTAAGTCTCGCTCCGGTCCAGCGAAAGCGCTCCCCTGAGCACGCTTGCTAACCACGGACACCTCGCGCACCCGCAGTCCCGGAGGAGTAAGCGAAACGAACAACGACGATTCGGGATTTTTTCTTTGGGGCATGTGAATTGGAGTTCAGGCTTGCTTTGAAAACTAGGCTTGCCCAGCCATGGAATTTACAAAACGGAAAGGTTATGGCATCGTGGTTTCTTACACGCAAACATGTTCACGAAGTGAAGCGTGAAGCATGGAGATGGGCGGCGCCAGGGCGTACAGTGACTTGGATCGGTGATGCTCCATCTGCTCTGCATACTATTCCCTCCCACGACGTGGGAGTCCTCCCCACCACCTGGCCTACACTCTGAGATGACAAAGCTCTCCGTTTGCTGTCTCAATTTTGGTGCCTAGGAAGATTGATGCTAATCGGCTCACTACTCACCGCGGCTTCCTGCAACAGGTGGAAGCAGCGGTCCATCATTTGAAGCTGACAAGGTGCCAAACTGCCGGATCCGCAATTCGCTATTGTCGGAGCGGATTTGCCCCCTGCTGGAAGCTTGGGATCGGCAGGATGGCACGGTGCACACTCGATCCTCTTCGGATGCGGCGGGGTGTTTTGAAGGATCCCCGTTCCGTATTGCCGCCGGATTGGCGATCCCTTGCCAGGCCGTGCCGGGTGCTGCAGAAGCGGCATTTTTGCAGGAACACGACAGCAGACCAGAGCCTCAGCTGAGTTCAATCCGTGGTGCCGTGGTACATCAGGGCCGACCTCATATTTCTCCGCTACCACAGGCTACCGTGCCTAGGTTGTCAGTGTCCATCGAGTGCAGATCCGAAACGAGGCCCAGAATTCAAGCGAATATGCGGGGGAGCAGCGCGTTTCAGGGCTCTATCAAGGCCTTGATGTCGTTTATTGCCTGACATCACCGAAGCTGATGCCATGATTTATCCCCGTACTCGCTGATTACCTATTGTCCATCTTTGGCTTTTTGCTACGAGGCGTTGGTCGCAAGAGGACGGACAATTCAAGTGGCGAGTGGCATGATTTCCTGTTCCTTTCTCGTATCGTTCATCTTAGCGACAGCCAATGCCCGTCCCCTTCTTCCACTTCGCCCCGTGCCACCATGCCTTTTTTCCTTCCCC